AACATAGTTTACTTTGTTAGTGAAAGCTGGTTTTTCACTACTAAAAATTTTTGAAATACATATATATATATATATATATATATAATCACTAAAAACAGGCAATTAAATAATTTGGCTTGTCTAGGGTCATTTATTTTTCTTTAATATTTATAACCTAAGCTCTTAAAGTCTAAATGTTTCTTGTGTACCAAACTCAGATCTTGTTACCCCATACAGCTTAGAAGAATGGGGGTTAATAAACTGATGCCCCTTAATAATTATTGCAAAAATGACCTATTTCATGAAATGATTATCTCCAACTGTGTATATACATTTTAAACATCATAAAATTGAATATTTATTTAAAGGAATCTATAACCATCCATCTGGATGAATCCTTGCATAAAGCAAACATTTCTATGTCAAACAAACAGTCCTATTTTATTTCCTACTTTTTAATTCTAACTAATTATTACCAAAAAAATAAAATAAAGCAACCTCCCTTTAACAGTAACTAAATATAATGAGGTTTCTTGTATCTAGACTATGATGGTTAATTTTATGTGTCAACTTGACTGGGCCATGGGGTGCCCGAACATTTGGTCAGTTGTTAGTCTAGATGTGTCTGAGAGGGTGTGTTCGGATGAGATTAACACTGGAATCAGCAGACTGAGCAAATCAGATGGCTCTTCCCAGTATGCGTAGGCCCCATCCAGTACGTTAAAGGCCATGAGGAGGAGGAAATTCCTCCTGCCCAATGACCATCTAGGTGGGACACTGTTTGTTTGTTTGTTTGTTTGTTTGTTTTTGCAGCCTTTGAACTCGAACTGAAACATCAACTCTTCCTGGGTCTGGGGCCTACCAGCCTTCATACTGAAACTACACCATCCCCTCTTCTGGTTTTCAGGCCTTTAGACTCGGACTGGAGTCTAAAGCTTGGTGACTACAGATCTTGGGACTTGTCTGCCTCCGTAATTGTGTGACCCAGTTCTTCATTACCTACCTACCTATCTATCATATATATACCCTACTGGTTCTGTTTCTCTGGAGGACTCTGACTAATACATTGGCTAATAAACCTATACTGATTTTAATAATATTAATAATAATACAGCTCATGAATATAGTGAATTCTGCTCAAACAAAATCTGATATAAATTCTCAAGTCCCTGTAATTTGAACAGTTAAACTAATTGCAAAGTTCATCGATTCTGATATGTACAAGATTAGATTAGAACCTTGTTTTCCTTGTATACATCTGAATAATAAACTAACAATTATGTACAGGTGATTTCAGGGATTCTTGATGCGCAGTGTGTTATATGTGGAGGATAGAAAAAAAGGTGATCCATCATTTGAATGGGCCCCGAACACTCTGTTGCAAGAGCTGACAAAAACTCTTTACAAGGAAGAGATATCAGTCCACTGTGAAAAATACGTCAAACACTAATATTTTCTATTGCATTCTTGTAGGTGTAAGGAAAATTACAAAAACATGCACAGAAACATTCTTTATGAAGTAGGAAAAATTGTATAAGACTTTCCAATGTGCTTCTAAACAATACAGTGCAGGCAGATATCCACTTTATAAAAAAATAAATTTTAAAAGAAATAATACCATGATGAATCTTTGCTGAACAGTACAGCCATAGTGTCTATTTTAACTAACTATTGAAGGAAATGTAAAGTCTTTTTAAGTTTTTTAAATACGAATTCTATTATTCTTAAGTAAAACCTGTAAACGTGAGGGTCAAACATTTATTTATAAACTCCACTGAGTGCTTTTGAGTTAAAATGTGTAAATATTACAGACGCATATTTTACTGCCCCAGAAAAATATGCATCCTATTGTCATTGCCTTAACTGCTTAGATCACTGCAGACCTACTCATCAAAATTCATGAGGAAAAACTTTCTTGTGTCATTAAGGTGATCGCTTAGGCCCTGTAGTAACAGCTTAATAATGATGACAATCATGACGATGATGGTGCTAATAAATGCTAACATTTATATAATGTTCACTATGTGCCATACTCTGTTTCACTGATTTTACATAAATTAACTTGGGCCTCACAAAATCCCAATGAGATACGTATTATTTTTATTCCCATTTTACAAATGAGCAAACTGAAACACAAAGAAGCCATATTCTCCAAGGATGTAAGATGCATTTACAAATTAGTTTGCCTTGATTTGTAATATTAAAAACTAGATATTCCCTAAATACTTATATTATGACATAAACATCCTATTATAGAGTATCATCCAGACACTTAGAAATAAAGATTACACAATATGGAAAATGCCCATGATACACTGTTAAGTGAAAAAATGCAGAACAGAAAACTGCATTTGCACACTGATTGCAACTGTGTGAAAGTCAACCATGCACACAGTCAAGGGCCAGGAGATGGACAACACAGAGCAGGACCTGCTGCTCTTCCAGGAACTCCCTGTGTCTCTCCTTCCCCTCGGGGACCAGCTGAGCTGTACTTGCAACACATCCCCAGGACTCATACTGAACCCTGCAACGTGGCCTGGATTCCTAAAGGTCCCTAAACACCACCATCGCTGGGTCCAAAGGCTCTTTACTGCCTCATCCTCCTCCATCTTTTCACAACACATATAATTCTTTGCCAGTAATTTCCTTTTCCAAATTATCTCCAAAAGTGTCAGTTAGATGGGGATGCCTCTTTCAGCGGCTCCTCCTCTGCTGCCTAAGGAATTGGTCGTGCCTCTGTCCTCTGCCCCTTGGCAACTGAATCTGCTCCAGTAAACAAAATATTCACCTCCGCGTGGATAGTCCTCAGATATAAAGCAAGCCCAAAGCTCCACACAAAGTTTAGCTGCTTGCCAGACATCTCCCACCGGCATTAACTCTCGTCATGTATAAAACTCCTCATGCTGCCCTCAATCAAGCCGGATCTCCAGACTCCCACTTCTCTCCAGGACACCCGATTTCACTCTAGCTCTCCACGCTTGGAACATCCATGCCACATCACGTCTCTGCAACGTACAGCTCCCAGCTCCCTTCTGATGCCCTCTTCAGCATCTCCTCCAGGTCCTACGAGAACAGGAACCTATGCCTGTTCCGAGCGTACTCCATGTTCATTCTCCGTCTCCGGAGGCTGGAGTTTCCATTCACCCATGAGGTCTTCCTTGGTGACCTCCCCTCAGATGTGTTTTCTCCACCTTGAAAACTTCATGACACTTCTATTTCAGGTTTCACACGGTAGTTATCATGTTTCACATCCTTATGTTACGGCTATTAGCCACATGAAACTGCTGATAGTTTTAATCTATGCCATATGGTTCAACTTAATATTTCTGCTGATTTTAGAGTCCCTAAGTAAACAGCAGCTCTACAAAAGCAAAGATGAGTTTTGTCTTTTTTGGGGTCCCCTGAAAAGCCCAGAACATACATTGGAAGTGTTTCAGAAGTGTTTGTCCAAATAAAGACCCTCTCGATATATAGAAAGATAGATTCCTATTTTATATATGTTTGTAAAAATCAATTGTCTTAGCAATTAGTCTAACCTATCAGCTCCAATGGTAAAGGTGAGAAACTTTAGAACATGCAACTTCAAAACTTCTGGTAACATAAAATATTTTGGTTCAAGGAGCTATTTTAAAATAATTTATGAAGGAAACATCCTTGGATTTAGAGGTTGGCAGGTACAGTAAAAAGCTTTTTAGTTGACTGAAATAAAAAAAAAATCAAAACACTTTTTAGCACAGGCACTTCCCTTGTAAAAACAAATTGCCTAAAAGCGAAGCACAGCAGTTTGTGCACAGTGAGCACGTGCCTCCTGCCATCACAGGAGAGGAGCTGGAGAGGGCGGGAGCGGCTTGCATTTCTGTAGCTTCTTTTGTGCACCCAACTGTACACCCAAACTTCACAAAGCGGCACACATCATCACCAAGAGGAGACAGTGACAGGATGTCAATAAAGAAAGGACTCTCTTAGAGACAGAGCAGCCCCGCTTCCCCAGCACAGCAGCGACCCCCACACAGATGTAAACATGACTGCAATTAATCTGTGCCAGTTACGAAAGGAGGGAACACGTCTGCAAGGTTCTTCAGCATCACCTGAACCAGCCCCAGAAAGCGACTGGTCTCTCGTGCTTTCTCAAAGAATGACTTCGGTCTATATTGAATTGTATTTGCTGACTTCCCCAACAAATTACAGATTTCCACTTCCAGGTGAAGGCACTGCTCATCCGTCCCCTACCCAGTTCTCCCCTTTTCCTACAGAAATCACTATTGTGAATGAAATACCCAAGTGAAAAGGATGCGGGCCTTAATTCGGTTAGAAGCTGTGGGGTGCCCAGAAAGTATTAGGGCCAGGAGAGAAGACAGGCACCACTCCCTCCCTAACGTTTCAACTTTTTCCCTAGAGAGGTAGGGAAACAGTTACTGAGGTCTGGAGAAATTAAAAAGGTGGACTCTGGCTGTACTTCAGTCTTCCTTCAGCACCAGCTCCAGCACCGCAGTTCTGAAGGGGCAGGCAGCCGGCTCTCAGTGCCACTGGAGAACAGCCCGGAGCCCTGCGCCTCCCCCGGCGAGCCACAGCGGCAGCCTCACGGCCATCCTCCAGGGGTCACAATTGGGTTACAGATACCTCACAGCACCGGGACTGAGCAGCCTGATCTGGAACAATTTATTCGAATTCTTCTTCATTAAGATTCAAATGGAATAAGTAAGGGAGAAATTGAACAGACACAGGAATTGTGCCTTGCTGCTCCTGTAGTCAGTAAACATTTATTCACTAAGCCCAGTTTGTGTGCTCTCTCTCTCTTTCTCTCTCTCACTCACAGTTGTTCTTCCAATCCTTCCTGCTCGCTGTTTTAATGCATAATTAAGAAGGTCAGAATTAATGAAGCAGTGTGGAGTAAAGTTCAAGGAATCCCCAGGCACTATTTATTCTATTAGATCTCAGGCCTGAATGTCAGCTTGGCAGCAGAAGCGGTATAAGCAATGGGGCTGGCTGCATCCCAGGAACGTCCACCAAGGGAGACTCACCTGCACTGTCAAGTCATTCCGCAGCTCCTTCCCTGCGAAAATTACACGCAACTGGTCAGCTGGAACCCCCTGTCGCTTAGCAACCGCCTCCTTGAGCTGGAAGATGCTGGTGTCAGAATCGACCTCCACTGGGAAACCATGGCTGGAGTTGAACCTGACAAACACTGACCAAGAAAATTGGAGAGGAAGACAAAAGAAAAAAAAAAAACAGTGAGCATTATTTAAAGCCCTTAAATGGCAATTGTAATATTTCTGAACTGATTAACCCCTCAGCCACCCTTCAATGAACAGCATACATTTTCTTTTGCTTATAAAACTATGCAGCAACATCTGAAAAAAAAATGGAGTTTCCCTGGGATTTCCCTTTCGTAATTAGTCAGTGACCCGCAAACAAAATTTCACGCTCCCTTTGACATCCATCCTGGGAAACAGAGGGACTCAGGCAGAACACTTGCTTGATTGGAACTGTAAGATTCCCATGAGTTTATCGAAGAGATTCAGCTCTGACAGCCTATACAAACGCACACCATCTCCACGGTGCCCTCTCTTAATAAAAAAATCAAAGGCATTGTGTTAGCACTCATGGTGCAGCAATGGAAAAAATTCAAGCCACTTATAGACTAGAGTGATGACGCACCATGGCTGTGTCTAAGGCATTGGTGGCCCCAGCCAAAAGGCTCTGCTGTGTCTTACGGAGATACACATTTGCCCTTTCTTTTGAAACTAGTGATACTATTTCTCTTTTTTGGAACCACTATCCCCCTCAAGGCCCAGGCTGGCACCTTACAATCTTTTTATATGCCTTCTTCTCACTGCCAACAGCCATGTCACCTCTTCAGTATTTCTCACATCTGTCCTTTCCTTTCCATTCCTTCTGTCACTACTCTCATTAAATCATGTCTAGACTCTTGCAAGAGCCTCCCGACTGGAGTCCTGATGTACTGCCTTCGCTTCCGAAATGTCCTACACCATTCTTCAAAGTAAACCTTACTGATCCACAGCTCTGAGCATCTCATAGCCCTCAAGTCTTTTAAAGTCTCACACTGTCCACTGGGGAGAAAAACTCAGGATCACTCTCATCTGATGCAAACCTATGTCCTAGCATTTTCTCCATTAGTCTGTGCAGACACACTGCTTACCTAAATCCTCCAAAAAGCAAACCACAGAAAACTCCTGCCCCCATCTCTTGCCTTTTTGCACATCACTCCCTCTCACCTCTGCCTGTTGAAAGCCTGTTCACCTCCATGATCCACCTCCTCCTTCAAGGAGCCCCTCACCATCAGCCCCGTCAAGACTGCTCACCTCTGCAGGGCTCCAGCGGTTTTTACTACGTACATCTTGCAATACTTGCCACGTTTTCTCGTAGAAGCAGTATAGCAGAGGTGACAAGTACATTATCCAAAGTCCAAAGACCTATTCAGCAATTCCTGTAGGTCCCTCATCAGCTTAGTAGACTGGGGTAAACATAGTAACCTTAGCTCTTTAATGCTCAGTTCCCTAGTCTCCAAAATAAAAATAAACCACACGGGATGTTCTGGGATATAGAGTAAGTAATATTTATAGTATTTCCAACTATCAAATAGTTACCCTCAAAAATAACAGATGTTTGCATATGTCTTAGATGTTGGTGGTATATATTTTACATTTTCTTTAAACAAGTATAAACTCCTCAAGGCCAGGCAGAATAGTTCATTTTCTGCTGTCCCTCCTTTAAATGCAGCAGTATCACCTTCTAGTTCTCAACTGAAATGTGAGACGGCCCATCAAATAACAATTATAAAAAACAATAATTACCATGACAGTAACAGTCAAGCACTATGTTATGTGGTAGAAGTTGTACCTTACACAGGCTATTTTTTAAGCTTCCTGATGATCTGGTAAGGTCAGTATCATTTTCTGTATTTAATAGAATAATAAATGAAGGCTGAGAGAATTGTAACCACTTTTCTAAGGACATCAGCTACTTTGTAATAGAATCACAATTCAAATTCAGTTCAATCTTCCTCTAAACCCAACTCTTTCTTACAATAACAGGCTGCCTACAATCATTTCAGAAGAAAAGTCCACATTTCTTTTCCTTATGATAAAAAATACAAAAAAAAAAAACCAGCAAAATGTCTTTATAACGTAATTCAGAAAGCCTCTATCTGTATAGAGTAGAAAATGAGATTTAAAAAATAAAAACTCCACTGAAGAGCTAAGAGCAAAGAATAATGAACCATAATTATAAGACACAAGGAGTTAAAATGACACCAAAGTGAGAGGAGGTGCCACAGATGCCACCACAAGAGCAAAAACCTGACATATTTTACCAGCACAGAAAATATTTAGAAAGAGTAAGGACTGGAAGTGACAAAAGAGTTTCAAATGAAAACAACTGAAGGGAAAAAAACAAACAATTAGAGGAAAAGGTACTTTTGATATACTTTTAAGTGGATGTCATGTGATACTGTTGAAAGCAGAGAAGGAGAAATAAAAATGTACTGGAAGCCCTTGAGGTACATTCACAGCATCCTCAGATCAGAGACTGTAAGACCAGCAATTCATCAGATAATATACAGTGACAAGTGAGGGGCTGTGAGGGACAAAAGGTACGGTCCCAGTTCTAAATTTGATTTTCTGGTCTTGTGAATAGATTTTTTTTTTTAAAGCAAAACACCAATGGGGGAAATATGGAAGAAGCAGCCGAGAACTATACAAAAGCTACTTGAAAAAAGGAATTACTATCCCAGGAATCAAAAGTTGCTGATTTTCTTCCAGGGGTTCAAATCATGGTAATATCACCTTAAGGACAAGAAACAAAGAAAAATAAAAGAAAAATATTTGCAAAAAACATACTAGATAACTCTGTACCACTAATCAAATCATTACTATCTAAAAGCCTTTTTTTCCCCTTATAAATAGAAAACTAAAGTTTGTGAGTTTAAGTTCAATTTGGATAAATCATATCAATACTTCATAAATGAATATTCTTGAGCAACAAGTCAGAAACATAGTATGAATTTATGACGAAAAGAATGATCAAATACAGGTTATTTGGCCAACTAAAATATTCTTGTGGAGAAGAATAAACATCCTAAAGTGACCTGATGAATAACCAAACGCCACTCTGTGGAAAACGGCTAGTGCTTAATGGCAGCAGCATAATTTACAGTGGGTCTCCATCTTTTTCTGACCCACGTGAGAAACGTGCCTGTTACAAAAGATTTGTTGAGATTATGGATGTATTAGGAACATTTTTTGAAAGAACCTTTAGTACAGACTTTGTACCCTTGGTTCGAGGTAAGTTTGTACTCCAAAAACAGTTCCCTAATTTTTGTCACTTAGGGGAGGTAGCTGTCACTAAGGCAGCTTCCATCATTAGTATCAGAACTAAGACAGATGAAATGGGATGTGAGTGGAAGCCAAA